GAATTGAGACGATCAATGTTTCATCATTTGATAATTTTTATCAAGATCTTAGAAAAAGGATAGAATCAATGCAAAATGTATATGTAAAATTTGCAGCCATTTAATCATCACATCTTATTGGAATGGAGATAGAAGAACTTTCAAAGCTGATACCAAATCTGACAGAAACGTTTGATGAACTAGAAGAAAATGAAATGATACCCGAAATTAAACGATTAAGACGTCATCTTTAAGCAGAAGTTTGTTGAGTGCCTTAACTAAATGATAAGTGGGAGTGGGGCACTGTGAGATTATTGGTCTTAATGGATTATTTGGTTTGTGAGTTTTCACATTTCCCTAGATATATCCTGGATTATATTCGCCGACTATAGGGGTGAGTTTTGCAGAGGTTGAATTAAGATTTACCTGTGCAATTATTTTATTAGTCTTCGTTTTGATTTGTGATGTGGGATCTTTAGCAATACATTGAAATTTGGTATTATCGGACAAAATATTATTGATTTGTTTGAGGTAATCCACTCGATTCATCAAAGCGTACATGTTGGCCTTGTCAGATTTACGGATAACGATGTCGTTTCTTCGAAGACTCCTAGCTGCAGCGACCAACTCTTTTGACAGAGCTGGTTTACGACACATATTACGGTGACGGTGTGCCTCAGCTTGAAGCTGGCTGTGAAGAGCACTATCAAAGTAAATCAGTCCCTGCTTCTTAAGGTTTTCGCATGCGTTATATAATAACTCCATTCCTGTTTCTTTGAAAAGCGGATTGTATCGTCGACGTATGTGCATATTGAGACCTAAATTGATAAAGAAAGCTTCATCGTCAGTTAATGTATGACTAGATAGGTTAATGTTGGACTGAACCTGTTGGTCAGGGAGTATGGTATTTCCATAGTATAAACTATAGAGCTTTTTTAACATTGTTTGTAGTTTATAGAAAAAGTAGGAATTGTATATTTGTTCAATGACTGTCTTCAGGTTATTGAAGTTATTAATATTGTAGTCGTTAACAAGTGTGTGTAGAAGTTTATTATACTGTTGAAAATGTATAGATTCCTTCTCACATGCTAATTTCTGTTGTTTTTGGAAAGTTGAATTGTATCGGTGTTGCTGTTGTTGTTTACCTAAGAGCAAAAGTGTAATATATTCAGGAACGAGGTTTTCATTTATATCAATTTCGTTGAATATGTTTGCCCATTTTGCATTTATTAATTATTTTGAAATTTAGTCTACATTGATGTAATTGTTGCAAATCATATTTATTAAAAACTTGTGTCATATCGTGGCTAAAAACAATGTTTCGGCTAGGTAGCCATCATCAGAGCCTAAAATTAGAAAATTGTAAAAGTTTTCAATAATACAATAAAAGGCTATGATAACTCCAACTATAACATCATTAATTACAACAACAATAACAGTAATCTTAATATTGATAACGATAACAACAAAAATAATTTCAACAATAATCACTATTACAATATTATTCATAATACTAATAATTAAAACGAAAGCATTGTTAACAACAAGAACGAATTAGTGAATTGTAAAAATTTTCAATAAAACAATGAAAGGCTGGTCTCCGTTATATATATTAATATATTATATAAATATATATATATATAATCAATTTTTCTCAAAATAACAAAATTGAGATTCTAGAATTAACTGTGTGCCATGAAAGCAACCTAGAATCCTCCAGGCAATACAAGAGAAATAAATACTCTAATCATTTGCACTGTTGTTTAAATAAAGCTATAAACATTGTTCAATAGTTATAAACTCATTCGAAATAACGCCTATTGGTTTTTACAATAATTTTAATTTGTCACTGTTTAAAGTTCCATGGCTGTTATAATTTAATGATGAATTGAAAGACACTGTTATAAGATTATCGTATGACATTTATTGTGACAGGAACAAGCTATGATGCTAATTAAATATATTTAACCGTTCTGCACTTAACTTCACAATGAGCAAAATGGTCTTAACCTTTAATATTATTCTATACAATTTTTACAAGATTTATCATTGTGCATTATTTAATTAACATTAACTTCTATATATATATATATATAATAAATAATTATATATATAATTTGTCTCATGTAGAAATTTATCTGCCAGCAATAAACATAAAGCATGAGATTGTTTTTGCACAATCTTCTCAACAGAATTCATCGTTTCAAAATTCGAACCATCCTAACTTATCAATATTCAGCATTGAATTCTACATATTCATCTCATACTTTTTATTTTATAATAATTAAATAGCACTCTTATTACGTTTAAATTATTACTGGTCATATGTGTGTGTAATATTTTATAAAATTTTGACTAAATGAATTTTATTTTTAAAATCTTTTTGCTATTATTTTAACTCTCAGTAATTATTCAAGCCAGGGTTGAGATACAGTTGATGACAATTTTGTTTCATGTAGACAAACTTTATTTCATGTAGACTACTAAATAGCTGTTTGTTATTGCGTTGCTAACATTTAAGTAACAAACTCAAATTTTGTGGATAAATTATGTTAACACGAAAAAATTTGGCTGTCGCAAGCTAAACAGACATGTATCAGCTATAACAAAAAAGTAAAAATAACAAGAAAATCATAGAATTTTGTTATTATGATTATTTCAATGTTTGAATATTGAAAAACATTTCCCAAAATCAACAACAGCAACAACAACAATAACAGCCGTAAAAAAAACGAAACAATAATCAGTACTGTATAGTAAGGTAAAATCGTGCGAGTGCTTTCAAACAGCTGTGAACAGCAGTCGAAATGAAATGAATGCGACAACCTTGCTGATTGTAAACTATCCTCATACAAATACACTCAATACGTTGCTACATGAACAACCGCTGATGTCTTTGTGTCGAAAACATGCAATTGCACACACACAGCGCGATCTCTAACTTGCTCGAATCGCATTGCACGAGCTTATGGTAATTGCCTTCTAAGTGAATGCAATTATGACTTAACAGTGAGGATCATAATTTCATTCCAGTTCGACACACACGGAGGAAATATGTAATACACGCACACACAAATATGCACACCACACACACGCACTCACATACAATGTTATAAATTTTGACAACACTAACATATAAATTAACCACAATTTAAATCTTTATAAATAATGCTTCTGCAAATCCATGTTAGTATTAAGGAACAAAATAAAAAAAAACACTTCCTCTCATTAAGGCAATGAGAGTTAACCAATCCTAATATCCAGTGTTATGTTCATAACAACATTCGCAGATCGGTCTGTAGTATTGAACTTAAAACTCCAGACTTGCATGGTGCTATTTACATTTTAAACGTATAGGATATGCACTTTATTCAACAACAATAATTAAAATATTTAATAAATAATTCATTATAATAATAATAATAATATTTATCACAATATTAAAAATTATGATAAAATTTAAATACATACTGCGTACATACAAAACTACCATAAGTCTTTTTAGCTACAACGCTATACCTACAATAACAATTGTATGTATGTGTGTGTGTGTGTGTGTGTGTGTGTGTGTGTGTGTGTGTGTGTGTCTGTATGTCTGTGTGTGTGTCTGTGTATGAGAGTTTATGAATAAAACTTATAGTTTAAAAATTCTAACGAATGAAAAGACAAGGATGATGAATGTGAATAAGCGAACTAATAAACGGACGCATATATATATATATATATATATATATATATATATATATATATACATGTAGAACTTCAAACATGCGTTGTATGTTTTATTATTTTATGTTGTATGTATTATCAATAAATTGAAGTGGAAGATAAGCTAAAACATAATAGGACTGAATAATTTGCAATAGCGCAAGTCATGGAAGATGAAACAACTTCCAGAAGAGTCGATGGAGCCGATGGAAAAGATAGACTTAATGGTGGCAATAGCAGAAGAGGCAGGAAGATTTTGTTCCTGGTGATGGCGGGCAGTGGAATGATTGGAGCGGTCGTCTGCACCACTCTGATGGCTTCCGTCTTGGCTGCAGCAGGTTCTTCAACATAATTATAATAAGGAAACAACAACAATTACTTTAACATCAACAAGTTTTTTCTGTATATTTAATTTTTTATGATTTATTCAATTTTCATAGTCTCAACAGCTACTACAACAGCTAATACAACAGCTTCAATCACTACTACAACGGCTCCGACCACTACTATGGCTTTAAGTACGGTCACAACCACCAACCTAGCAACAACTGGTATGCTCATTTACAATGTTTTTCAAATTCTAAAAATGGTTTTGCAGATAAATTAAATAAAATATTTTATCGAAAAAATTGGTAAAAGTTTTAATAAACCTTAAAAAGATTTTGTTCTTTGGCAAGCATGGCAGTTTTATGTTCCCGCTCTTAGATATACATAAGTTTTTAATTTTATCATGTCGTGATTGGCGATGGGCAAAAGTTAACTGAAAAACGTTATAAATTTTTGAACGGTTCCGAAAACTTTTATTAATATTGTTATTTAAATAAAGCTATGTTTGTTTGTTCATTCGTTCGTTCGTTCGTTTATCTGCTCGTTTGTCTGTTTGATTGTTTGTATGGTTGATTTGTTGGTTGGTTGGTAGGTTTGTCGGCTGGCTGGTTGGTTGGTTAGCTGGATGATTGGTTGGTTGATTGGTTAGTTGGATGGTTGTTGCATTGCAGCAACCAACATGGTTAAGTTACTTGATAGGCTATTTTTAACATCGTTGCGAAAAACGCTGTGTGTGTGTGCTTATGTGCGTGTGTGTGTGCGTGTGTGTGTTTGCGTGTGTGTGTGTGTTTTCAATACATATCAATTAGTCTTATGCATATTTATGTTTATTGTTCAACATAACTCAAAAACACTTCACAGCTTGTGAACGACGTGATGCTACTTCGGAATATGAACAAGAATATTCTGATCCTACAACAATTAAAATAAATGGACGCCTTATTTTCCTGTGGACATCTTTTAAAATAGCATATTTGAATTGTTTTACTAATCTTTACACTTCGTTAGTCAAGTTTAAATCAGCACAATCGCAAGAGTTGATCAGATTTAGCCTGAGTATGGAAAATGTGGCTGACTATTGTTTCCTTGTAGTTTCTTCTAGTAACGGTTTAACTTACTCTAAAGATCCGGCTGTTCCTCTCTATAACAACCAGGTTGGACAAAAATTGACGAGCTATTTAAATTAATCTCTGTTTTGTTATATTTTATTATGAAAAATTAATCTTGAATGTTGATCATGTCGTAGCAATAGTGAATAATTAAAAATGTGATAATTTTCAATCGAACAGAGCATACCAGAAGATGTTGTCAGTGTTGGGAACTACATGTTTAATGAGATCGTATTGGCATTCAACCCTTCCAACAATCAGATGAATACTGCTTTTGATTTCATTGAAATCGAAGTTGCATGTTAGCTACAAGCAACAATGTTAACATCAATTTTTAAATCGTAGCACTGTTTACGAATTGACAAATTCACCTTTTATTGAGCAAAACTAATTTTTTACTTTGGTACGAGCTAATTTCGCTAATGAATAACAATATATGATGGTACGTAAGATTGAGCATGAAGATGGTGTTACTATCGTTTTAAGATGAGGATTTATTCCCTAACAGATTTTTATTTTTATTCTATCCTTTTTGTGACCATTCTGGCGGAGCGATAGTGTAGCGGTAAAGTGCCTGACACTGCCTCTGCAGTGACTGGATTCGATTGCAGAGTGTTCTCCGCTTATCACATGCAATGTGTTTGATGCCTCGTTTCACGTGTGTTTGCATGCAGTGCGTGTTTGTTGTCGAGGCATGCGAAAAATATCGAAGAGAGAATTGTTATAAATAAACCAGCTTTCACTAGTTTTACAACATTATAATGTTTCTAAATACTTATTTTAATTGTTATACAAATTTGTTAACGTTGTTATGCATTAAATACTAATTGGCTTTAAATGTTCTATTTTTAAATGTTCTATTTTTAAATGTTGCTTGTAATAACGGGGTTCTACTTTGGTTATATTATAATGTTAAAAAATTAATTAGATGTTATTTTTACTCTGATGATTTAATTGAGTCTTCCTTGGATTCTGGTGGCTCTAAGTTGAGATGCAATTAAGTAATTAAGGATGTCGGGTCCTTCATGCGTCGCTGTGACCTGGATCGAATGCAAGGGAATTCTGCAGATGATTGAATGATGATTTAACGGAATGACGTCACCATTGAATTATTCGTTTGTTCATTTTGTCCCGGGAAATTATTTTCAATAAAAGTTAAAACGGTTGAGGGGTGATTTTATTTAGTTTTTATTAAAATTGCTAAAATTGTCTAAAAACTGAGTTTCATTTACTTTTAATAAAAATAATGCTCATAAAGTCCTGTTCCCTTAGATTTTCAACTGCATAGAACTAGCAAAACACTACCAGCTTAATTCACTAAGTTATGTAAGCCCCCCATTCCAAAAAATTGAACTATAGTGCGTGTTCAGTAATAGTACATACTGATAACTGGTCGGTCGATTCAAAGAATACTAAAAAGTATCGAGTGCACTGGCGAACCGAGGTGGGGGCGAGGGTGGTGGATCGCCCCGGGCCTCCGATTTGGAGGGGGCCTCCAAAAAGCCAATTACGAAAATTTTTAAATAATTTATTTATTTAGTAAGTGTATAGACGTGATTTTGTGTTTTGATTTTTGAATATATTTATTTATAAATAATCTGTAGTAATGCATATACTTAGTTAGAATAAATTTTTTTAAATCCTGACCGAATTGGTAATCCACGTCTATTTTTAGTCGGACATTGACATCATTATACTTGAATGTGATTGGTTGATATAGTTTTTGGACGAGTCGGCTTTTTCAAACTTTTTTTGTTGTCTGTTCCGTTTGGTTTATTAGAGTGAGTTTTAAATTTTATTTATATATTTATCAATCTCTTC